GGCTCTGGTTCATGTGGTTCATTAGACCTTTGGATTGATATTTTCCTTGTGCCTTTGGTTTTCTTTATTCTCCTTTGCACCACATGTGATGGGACCAATAGATGTATTCTGGATTTTTGTTATTGTTGCAAAACCACACACAATGTAGCATTAGCCCATCTGTCCCTTTTCCATATGTACAGCTTACTGACATCAGTTACTTCAGTCATGCTGTGCAAACTTCACTCATATTTCCCGTTTATATAAACAAAAAGTGACTATTACCTAGAATGTACTTCTCCCTCTCCTCCCCCACCCCTGTAACCGCTAATGAACATTAGTTTCTGTGTATTTACCTATTCATGTCATTTCAAAAAAGTGAGAACATACAAGATTCATTTGTTTGTGTTCGACTTATTTCACTCAACATAATGTCTTCCAGGTCCGTCCATGTTGTAAGACGTTTCAGGAACTCATTTTACTTTATCACCGAGTAGTATTGCATTATATGTATGTACCACATTTTACTTATCCATTCATCCATTGATGGGGACTTGGGTTGTTTCCATCTTTTTACTGTTGTGAATAGTGCTGCAATGAACATAGGTTGTGCATATGTCTGTTCGTGTCACTTCTGTTAGATCCCTAGGGCATATACTTAGGAGTGGAATTGCTGGGTTGTTATTAGTGGCATTTTAAATAAACTGTGCTAGGTTGGGTTGTCTAGAGAGATTTATGTCAAGGAAATGGCTCAGGTGATTGTAGTGGCTGGAACGTATCAAGTCCATAGGTTAGGATAGAGGCCTCTCCTGATTCATGTAGCCGCAGGACCAGGTGAGACTAAGATCAGCAGGTTAGACAGCAGGGCTCTTGCTCACGGTTGTGGAGATGGTCGAATCCCAAGTTCAGCAGGCAAGATGACAGGTAAGCTACTAGCTCAAGTCCCAAGAACCAGAAGTCACATGAACAGGAGCCAGCTGCAGGATCCAAAGCTAGCAAAAGCCCCAGGGCCTTGCTAGAAAAATCCACTTATATTCCATGCAGGCCACACCCTCAAGGAAACTCCCTTTCAACTGATTGGCTACTCACAGCTGATCCCATCATGGAGGTGATCACACCGTCATATGACTACCAAACTATATCATAACTGCCAAACCACTGAGAATCATGGCCCAGCAAAGGTGACACACAATCTTAATGATCACAATAAGTATGACTGGAACACTTTTAAATTTACTGAGACTTGTTTTGTGGCCCAAAATATGGTCTGCCTTGGTAAATATTAAAAAGTGTATACTCAGGTTTTTTTTCTGGGAGGAGTTAAGAATGTACTATAAATATCAATTAAATGGTTCATTTGTTGTTGTTGTTAGTTACCATCCAGTCAGTTCCAACTCATGACGACCTTTTATGTAATATAACGAAACATTGCCTGGTTAGTTCATAGGTTGTTCAAATCTTCTGTATCTTTATTGAATTTCTGTCCACTTACTTTATCAATTATGGAAAGAGACTTGTGGAATGATTCAACTATAATTGTGAATTTGTCTTTTTCTACTCTATCAGTTTTTATTTCAGGTACTTTGAAGTAATTGTTATTAGATACACAGAAGTTTAGAATTGTTAGCTCCTCTGAATGCCTCAACCCCTTTATCATTAAGAATGACTCTCTTTATTCTGGATAATATTATTTGCTCTGCAATCTACTTTTTTATATTAATATAGCCATCCCAGCTTGCCTTTAATTAGTGTTAGCATAGTATGTTCTTTCCAACCTTTTACTTTTAGCCCATTAGTCAAAATAATTGTTTTAATGCTCTTGTCTGCTCTAATTATCATCTGCATCATTTCTGGGTCAGTCTCCATTGACTGATTTTTCTCCTCATTCTGGGTTATATTTTTCTGCCTTTTCCCAACCCTGGTAATATTTGACTGGGTGGTAGACATTATGAATTTTAACTTGTTGATTGCTGGACATTTCTGTATTCCTACAAATCGTGTTAGCTTTGTTCTGAGATGCAGTTTTGTTTACTTGGAAAAAGTTTAATCATTTCAGGTCTTGTTTTTAAGCTCTGTTAGGTAGGACCAGAGCTTCACTTTGTCAAGGGCCAATTTTTCCCCACTACTGAGGCAAGGTATTTCTTGATGCTCTAGCTGATGCCTCCTGAATTCCAAGTTTTCAACTTTCCCTGTTGGGAAAAAACACTATTGCTGGCCACATGTGAGGCCTCGGAACTTTTCATGTTATAATTCATCATAATTTTTCATATTCACAATTGTTTTATGATTTTGTGATACTGTCTTTGAAAATATTTCTTAATGTTTAAACCAGCTCACACTAAAGTGGTTTAAATATATACTTCATAGCAGATAAAGACAATCCACTTTGGTGGATTCACATCTTCCTCACCTCATGTACCAGGGTCTCAGAGAGCAAGGATATTACAGCAAAAGGCTTTTAATCTTTGCTTAACTAATCAAACTAGCCAGGCAAAATCTAAACAACATAAAGGACAAAGTACATCCTCTGCTTTGACTAGATGAGGAGCCACAAGAGGAGTAATTTGGACACACCACTCTGATTCTTCCTTTTCATGCCTGTTTATTCTGCTGTGGGTAAAGAGGATTGAAAATATCATATACCGAGAAATGGAGATTATCATTAACAAGTGTTCATTGTAAACTTTATCCTAGGGAATGAGTGAATTTACAGAAAAACATCAGTCCATTGTCCAGATATTTTTCTGCTTGAATCTTCAGATTGTCTCAGTCTAGGAACAGAGAGACACAAGACTTCTAGCACCCAACAGACCTTACTCTGGGAAAGTCATTTATTCAACTATGGGTCAGAGCTGAGCTACCGCTGGAATATAGAAGTAAATGACAGATGAAATCATTCCCCTTGGAGTTCATATATTAGTGAGAAGCCTATTCCTTAGAGACAAAGTGGTCTTATAGTTTATTGCCCAAAGTGGGATATTATTGGAAGTAAAATGGGGAGCTGATAAAAATGACACTGGAGCAGCAGACATAAAATGATCTTTCCCTAGTCATCCAAGAAGGTATAGTTATCTGCTTAAGCAGGGTTTCTTTTCTTAATGAGGTAAAATTCACATGACATAAAATTAGGAAGTAGCTCACATCATGACACGTAACAGTGCTCCAGAATCCCTTAAGTATCACAGTCATTTCCACAAATAGCTAAGATATCCACACAGATGAATGAAACTCTGAGAAAAAGGATTTGAATGCAAGTAATTTACTTTGGAGGGTCCTAAGATGCAACTTAGGGAAATGGGGTTTAAGAAAGAGAAGGGAGGGCAACCATTAAAGGATATGCTATTGACTAGGTTACTGCTGTAGTTAACTAGGGAACAATCACCCAAACATCTCTGGGAACCAGTAAAAAACACTCCTTAAATTGTTTTTACCAAAGAGAGAAGAAACTAAGGTATATATCCATCAACTCCCATCCACCATTTACTGAGGGATTTTTCCAGGAGTATTAACTTCTCTACGCTTTCAGCCAGTCCCATACATTAAGCCAAGCACATGTCCCTAGACAGAAATATCTCAGTCAGAAAGTTGTTGGTACTTAGAGTAAGAAGTCATTGGCATATTCAGAAACGGTGAGTACTCAGAGATCTTGACAGGGCTTGCCAGATTCTTCATAGTTCATTCCCTTGCCACTCACATTCTTTTTTCCCCAGAGTAAGCTTATCTGCGATGTTATTTACAGGATATTTGCCATCATCATATAATCAAATCTTGTGTCTTCTTTTCTGCACAGTCTGACTTCCAAAAAAGAAAATGATGGTCTTTTTCATTGTCACACACAGTCCTGAATTGTTAGGTGACTGACCTGAGATTGTTATTTTTCCCCACTTTGGTATCTAGCATCATTAACAAAGGCCAACCAACTCCATGGATCTTATAATTGCTAAGTGCCCATACCTTTCAAAGTATTCTATCTGTTTTATAAGGCTGTGCTTCCCCTCACACTGATACATCAACCCAATTTACATCAGATGAGAATTTTAGTAATTATGATACTTCTGCACTGCACAGTTATCACCATTCTACCTAACACCAGCAATGTGTTCTTTGATCATCAAGTGATCCTAAGCCAGAATCCTATCCTGAATGTCTTCATAACACCACTTCTGTACTTGCTGTCTGAGAGGTCTTCCAGAGGAAGACCCTGAGGGAAGTATTTGAATACAAGCAGTTTTTTAGGAAGGTGATTCCAGGAAGAACCAATAGGTGAGTGGTGATATGAGACATGGAAAGCTAGGTAGTCAATATAGTGTATGGTAATAGTAGGTTACCACTGAGGGGAATTGAGGTTCAGATTTTTGAGAAATGGTCCTCTTAGAACATGCCTCAGAGGTGTCCCACCCAATGTATAAGATAGCTGGGATTTGTTTCCACTGCTCCTAACTGTCCTTGACTAAGAGATTCCTCTGGAACTATTAAATTGCTATCCCTTCTGGCCTGTCTGAGAGCAGACAGAGTTTGCCCCTGTTCTTAGGAGAAGTGAAATAGTTCTCAGGCAGAGACTCTTAGGTGTTCTTAGTAAGAAGTCATCAGCATGGATAAGGATTGTGAATGCCACAGGAATACGAGAAGCGAATCAGTTAACTTTGTAAACAAAACAAAACAAAACAAAAACCAACCCAAAACACAGTGGCTTAAACCAACAACCATTTTATTTGCTCACAATTCTATAGGTCAGCTGAGCAGTACTAGACTGCGCTGGATTATCTGCGTATGCATGTTCTAGAAAGTATCCCTAACAGCTGTAGGTCTCACTTGGTATGGCCAGGATGGTTGGGACAGCTAGAGCCCTTCTTCCTGTGGTCTTTCATTCTCTATTAGACTAGCATGTGTTTCTTCACATGACAGTCTCTGGGTTCCCAAAGAGCAAACCACCATGCACAGCTCTTTTCAAGACTCTTAACATGTTTGTTAACATCTTCTAAACAAAACTAGTCACAACATCCACCCAAATTCAGTGCACACTATGGTGAAAATGTTCTTCTATTGAGTATATTTCCCAGCGCTCCTTTCATGTCCCTATTCCTCAGACTATAGATAAAAGGATTTAGCATGGGAGTAACCAGAGTGTATAATATGGCCACAATGACATCTTTGTCATTGGAGTTACTGGATGAGGGGAAAAAGTACAATCCAACAATTGCCCCATAGTATAGAAACACCACAGAGAGGTGGGAACCACAGGTAGACAAGGCTTTGCGGATTCCCTTTGTTGAGGGAACTCTCAGAATAGTGGCCCCAATGAGGCCACAGGAGACCAGGATGCATACGAATGGAAAGGTAATGACCACAACCCCCACAGTGAGGAATACCAGCTCATTGGTTGAGGTGTCTGAGCTGGACAGCTTAAGTAATGCAGAGAGGTCACAGAAGAAGTGAGGGACAGTGTTGTCTCCGCAGAAAGAGAGACGGGCCAGCAGCAGTGTGTGCAATAGAGCACTGGCAAAGGATAAGACCCAGGACACAATTACTAGGGGGAAACACAGCCTTTGACTCATGATGGTGGTATAGTGGAGGTGGTGACAAAAGGCCACATACCTGTCATAGGCCATTGAGGTGAGAAGGAAGCTGTCAGTATCACCAAAAAATAAGAAAAAATACACCTGAGAAATGCACCCAGCATATGAGATGGATTGACTCTGTGTTTGCATGTTCATCAGCATCTTTGGTGATGTGACTGATGAGAAAGAGATGTCAGTAAAAGCCAAGTGGCTGAGGAAGAAGTACATGGGAGTTTGGTATATGCCCTGCTGCTCCGGCTGGATGGGGAGCCCTAGGAGGAAGAATTTGGACACACTGCTCTGATTATCCCTCCTCATCCTGTTCTTCTCTTTTGCTGTAGATCAAAAAAGAGATGACAATGTGAAAGAATAAGAAATTATTATGATGGTCGCATAATAAGAATGTGTATTTGAACTACTCGGGGTATGAATCTTGGATATCTCATGCTATGTGCTCCACTAAAGAGAGTCAGTAACAGTCTGACCACGGGCTATTATGGGTCCACCTAGAAATAAACAAAGCTATTTTGGAGGAACCATGAAACATCAGAATGATTTATCAGATCAGACCAGGTTCAAACTCGAGATTAAGAATCTAAGGTGCAAGGCTAGGTAACTAACTGGCTGTTAGAGAGACTACTAAATTAAAAAAAAAAAAAAGTTGCCGTTGAGTTCATTCCAACTCATGACGACCCCATGTGTTACAGAGTGGAACAGCACTCCATAGGGTTTTCAAGGCTGTGACCTTTTAGAAACACATCATTACTCCTTTCTTTTGAGACAACACGGGGTGGGTTCATACTGTCAACCTTTCATTTAGGAACTGAAGGAAGAGTACAAGAGAGAGACAGTCTAATTAGTCTATTGTCCTCCTTTAACCCCTCTCTTCCTATTCTTCTCTCACACTCTTTGGTTAATGTTTTATTTCCATGGATTGCATAGGATGAGACAACCCAGTGGGCTGCTCTGCATCTCTCAGAAATTCAGAAGTGCACACATGATGAGAGACCTTATAAGTAACTACCCAAGGCAAGGAGTTTAAGGACAGGAATCTATGTCAGTAACATAAAGGAGCTAGTGGCATACCTTGTAGTATAGCCATCAGTCCTTCCTTATCAAAATTCTTTCCCACTCCTCAACATTTTCAGTCTACCATTACCCTTTCTTTGGAAATTTTCATGGAATGGGGAAGAAAGAAAATCTAATTTCTCTTCCAAGTTCCTACCGTATCTTCTCCCTCAGTTCAAACCAGAGTTCTCTTGTTCAAGTCTTCAGAACACCGGGAAAGTCATTGGCTTTTCCAGTCCCATCCTAAAGTTGTCAAAGAAGAAACCCTTTATAAGAATTTGTCTAATCTACTTTACCAAATAACAGCTTATCATTTTCCTATGATCTTACCCTAGCTTTTATACCAGTCACTCAAATCTGGTATTTTTCTTATAATATTTCTAACACTTTTATACTGCTAGTACCATCTATCATTCCTTTCTCTTTTTGCTTCAAGTCCACTAGTCTTAGACCTGCATATGTGAACCTTTACAAAATAATAAGAAATAAGATCAGGATGGTTCTATCTACTGAAAAAACAGAACCCATGTAATATATAAGGACTACTAATCAATCTCAAGGTCATTCTCTGGTAGCTGAGAGATGCCTCACTGTAGGAGTTATCAGTCATCTATGGAGTTAAGTAAAGATTCCGTTATCTACAAATTCTCAGCTTGACTGACATGATCCTTAAAATCCCTAGTTCTTTAGCCCTCCGCATTAAAAATCCTGTCTGTAATTGGTTTTGTTGAATTGTACAGTGAAAAACATTGAATTGGCAAATGTGTTACCTAAATTTTTACAAGAAAGAAAATTATTAACTTGATATTTTTACCTGAGAAAAATTACACATTCAGTTTTAATAGTCAATAACATGTTAATATCCAGTCTATTGCAATAGATAAGCAAATTAGTTGTCTGATGGGCATTTATATTGCTTCCAATTTTTCCTATTTCCAAATATATTACAAATAATAGCATTATTCAATATATATTACAAATAATAGCATTATTCAATATTAATTTGCAATGGGAAAATATAGGATAAATTCCTAGAAATGGAATGGCGAGATATGTGCATTTTCCATTTTAGTATATATCTTGGATTATAGGAAGCTAAGGTGGTGAAGAAGCCTCTTTCGATGGGTTTTTTGTAATGAGTCATAAATAATAAGAAAAAGATTGTCATGTGAAGATTCTAGAAGAGGCCATTCTAGTTACAATGAATATCAAGTGCAAGACTCTAGGGGAGAAGAAAGAGCTTAGAGTGTTTAAGGAACAGAAAAAATACAGGAACTTGGTTAGCAAAAGAAGGATAGAAGGTTGGAGAATTATCTAGGAGTCAGGTTATTAAGGCCTTTTCTACCATGATAAAAATTTCAATTTTATTCTCAGAGCAATAAAACACCCATGAGAATCTTTAAGTAAAGAAGTGATGGAAAAATTTTTAAATATTTTGCTCGCTACTGGGTGAACATACTATAGTAAGGGAAGAAGGTCAGGAGGAATCTTAACGGGACACTATTGCAGTAGTTCAGCTACAAAATACTAGCTACTTACACCTGGATTGTGACAGCAGAGATGAAGACAATTGAAGAAATTTGGGATAAAATTTGGAGGAAAAACCAACATGACTCAATTGAGGATGAAAGATAAATGAGAGAAAATATGTGTTTGCCCTATCCTCTAAATTTTGCATAGATTATCAGTTCCAGATAAATTACTCTACTTGAAGTTGGTTTGAGGAGGGGTAGATCATGCTAGGAATCAGTAGCACATACTTGACACACCTACATACAATCATACCACTGATTCCATACCACTGATACAGTATGAAGAATGTAAAGTCTACTCCTCCTCTGACACGGCCTCTTAGGTGAAAAGCACAGATTCCTTCAGGCACAAAGTATGGGATGGTTCTTCCATTTCTCTCTAGAAGATCCAGAGTCCTGTGAAGCAGATTCAGTCTCTAAGTCAAAGATGCATTGAAACAGGAAGAAGAGTTACCAGTTCACAACCAGACAAGGTAGATATATTCAGACACTCCTGTTCACAGCTCCTCGGCACTGGCTGGGGTTCTACCTTACAAAACACAGAAAGGCCCCGGGAGGGCAAATCCCCCCAACCCAAGCTCCAAATTAGAGAGTAACAGCAAATAATTGCTTCATTTGCCCTTGGCCTCCCATGGGGAAAGAACTGTTTGTTGATAGCAAGCAAAAGGAGAGTTCATCCTTGGAGGAATAATGATAATAACCACAAAGCATCTACTAGGAATTTGATGACTCATGGAGCTTTTTGCCTTTTCAGTTTACATTGGAAACAATCCAGCTGGAGGCTGGGTGAGTGAACCCCAGATCTCTTGTTTCTGAAACTCATGCCATTTCAAGAACAAACGAGTGAGCAAACTGATATTCCATCATCACAGTTGGACCCTGGAGAGTAGGATAGTTTCTAGGAATCTTTGTCTCCTGCCCGTAGACTGTAGAGTCGGCATTCTATTGCTGCAAGTTTGTCACAAAACCATAGAAAACCCTTTAAAGAGATGCTTTCTACTAAACCCTTCACAAAATTGATTCCAAATTGATTCCATGCATCTCTGGCTCCACTTCTTCAATGCCGGCTAGAAGATGAATGCTATGTGCTCCTTAGTAAATTGTTAGCAAATAATTTTCTGCCTTTTTTTCAAATCATCTGTTAAAATTTGAACTCTGCAGACCTGTTTTTTCTAGTAATTATAACTAATCAAATTATGGACTCTAACCTTAAAAATACAAGTGTTCTTAACTAGCAGTATGTATAAATAGATATCAGTATAAAATGTATAGAGTAGGTAATGTGATAATACACTTGGTGTATGTTGCATTTTTATTTGTTGAAAATTATTAATAAAAGTAAAGTTGTACCAGTTTAATTTATATATAAGGTTTTTTAAGTAATTTTTTTCTAGAATACACTGTTATTTATTCATATCCGCAAAGATTACAAGGACAATGAAAAATACAATAAATAACAATAGTGCTGAGGGGAAGAAGTATCATCTCATGCTTTAATCAACTTGGGATTTTTAATTAAAAGCATAGCACAAGGGGCCTGTAACAGGACCCAGTCAGAGAGTGTCCCAGATCCATTAAAAATTGGGCTGGTCGACTTGGGGAACAGTATGTTTTTTAGGTATCAGTGGGGATCTGGACTTCCACAACTCATGTTTCATATTCCTGCCTTGAGCAGGCTGCTTCCATGAATGGATCCAGTGGCCAGGCTCAGGTTTTCCTAAAAAGATTTTTGTTAATATTATACCTCAGAACAGGATGTTAATATTATAAATCTTCATATTGTCAAATTAATAATAATAATAATACAATAGTAATAATAAGACTGTCATAAACTGAATAGTAGTTGTGTTGTTCAGTGCCGTCGAATCAGTTCTGACTCATAGCCACCCTATGTACAACAGAACAAAACATTGCCCGGTCCTGCGCCATTTTCACGATTGTTGCTATGCTTGAGCCCATCATTGTAGCCACTGTGTCAGTCCATCTCGTTGAAGGTCTTCCTCTCTTTTGCTGACTGTCTGCTTTACCAAGCATAATGTCCTTCTCCAGTGACTGATCCCTCCTGATAACATGTCTAAGAAGAAGTAATTAGATGAGAATGGAAATCCCAAAACAAAGAAAACATGAACATAAAACAAAGTATTTTTCAAAAGGAAGTTATAAAAACAGAAATTACACAAAATAAGATGATAGAATTAAGACCAAACATAGCTTTTATCAAAGTGAAATAAATGTAATCAATGTAAAAGTGATTAAATAACCTATTAAAAGAAAGAATCTCAGATTTGTTAAAAAATAAAAACGGAAACACCAATGGAGCACTTAATAAGTACATTTTGTATATTCATTTGTTGGAATATGCAGCCATCAAAATTTTATGAAAATTACATATATGTACAGAAGTTTATACATATGGAAAACATCTGGAAGCTATTAGTGTTTATAGAGTAGGTCTGGGGATTGGGAAGAGGGAGAATTTGTCACTCTACATCCTTATGTCAACTGAGCCCTGGTGGTGCGGTGGTTAAAGCAATCGACTGCTAACAGAAAGGTCAGTGGTTCAAAAGCACCAGTAGCTTCCCAGGAGAAAGATGTGGCAGTCAGCTTCCATAGAGATTTACAGCCTTGGAAACCCTCTGGGGTCGCTATGAGTTGGAATTGGCATGATGGCAATGGATGGCAAAAACGAATGTTGGCAAAGTACAAAGGAAGAGAGATT